GCTTGGCCTGCTGTGTTCATCCAGCTCGATACCTTGTTATCTCAGATCTCACATTCAAGAGTTTGCTCATAGCATAACATTTATGGAGAAGATCAGTTTAATCGAATTAGTATAAAGAGGATGAAAAAGAGCTTTCAAAGTATCATGTAGTATTAATTTTATGTTGGAATTCAGTGTTATCAATTTTGCCTTGATGAGTAAATGCTTTAACCTTGACACATATTTATCAGACAGACCCTTGATTGAGATGTATGTTTTCTTATTTTTCAGGATATGAGCATCACTGGCAAAGCTGGCATTCTTACCCCTGCCTAATTGTCCTTGATTTGAGTGGCTTGCTCAGCCGTTCCAGAGGGCAGTTAAGTATCAATCCACACTGGCTGTGGGACTGGAATCTTGTGTAGGCCAGAGCAGGTAAGGCTGGAGGATTTCCTTCCTTAAGTGACATTAGTGAACCAGATGGGTTTTTATGACAATCGATAATAGTTTCACGTCACCATGAGTGAAAACTAGCTTTCAATTCCAGATTTCATGAATTGCATTTAAATTCCACCAACTGCTGATGGTGGGATTTGAAACTGTTGGGTCTTTTGAATTCACAAGTCCACTGACACTACCGCTACACCATCAACTCCCCTTGAGTAAATTGTAATGGTTATATTTGTGCCTTAAATGTCCTCAGCCTTACATGGTGCTGAATTCTGATAGCTGTGCAGGTTAGGTGTGTTAAAGTATAACCCCACTCCTTGCAATTCCATTTCCTGAATATATTCCGGACGCTCACGCTCCTGATCCATAAATGGAAACTTTTTGAGATGGATTTGAGATCTTCCTGCATTCTATCTCAGCATAAATCTTTTAATTCATTCATGAGATGTGGATACTGCTAGCTGGGCCAGCATTTGTTACCCATGCATCATCACTCATTGATCTGAGTGGCTTGTGGGGGTCATTATTCAGGGCAATTAGAAGTCAATCACATTGCTGTGGGTCTGCAGTTATATGGGTGTAACATCAAGCTCCTCACCACATGTGCACAGCATTGTTCACCCATCCCTTCAGCTATTGGCAAATTTCTAGAATTAACAAAAACTGAAATGATGAGAAAATCTTCCAACCATGTGAGTTTGTCACATTTAGCACATGTTTCAGTTCAATTTCGAAGCTTACCAGCCCCAGTGATACTGCACGAGTTTTCTTGGAGGTGGCGAGCAATTCGAGAAAACTGAAAATGACAATATATTCCATGTTCAACGCTGGCAAAGTGCAAAACTATAGTAACCAGGACATTCAAGGTCTAAAAAGCATCAGCTCCAAGGACCCGGGGCTATTTAAATCAGGGAATTATGGAGTAATTTACATTAATGTATTAAAATTAAGTTAAATTGAGCCGAGTAGAATTTAGTCCCATAACAACGAACATCTGAGTGTGTGGATTACAATTTAGTGTGTATCCAATTTGACCATCTTTCTAGGATCCAATTTCTCTCAAATCACAGTCCTTTTGAGACAGTGAGTTCATTAGCATCTCCCAAGAGACCAAAATTCTGATGATTCTGTAAATCTGAAACTGGTCGCAAAAATGCTTCACTTTTGATATCTTAGCGAGCGTTTGGAAATGAGTGAAATTCGCTGTGACTGTTGTGTGTTTCATTTGAAAACAAAATGAAAAATGATCATGCAATTTATAATTGATCTTTCATAGGAATATTATTCACTATCTCTTTCAAAAGATAGGAGAGACAAAGAGTGGCAGCATATGGATTGGAATATCCTGTTTATATAATGAAAAAGCCAGAAGTCACATCACACCAGGCTATGGTCCAACAGGTTTGCTTGAAATCACAAGCTTTCAGAGCACTGCTCCTTCGTCAGGTGAAGTGCTGGACTATAACCTGGTGTTGTACGACTTTTGACATTGTCCACCCCAGTCCAGCACCTCCACATCATATATAATGAAAGGTTTAGTTGTGATATGTCTACATCTTAGATAGTTAGACAAATCAGATTATAAGGAGCGGGCACTTCACAAACAAGATATATCAGTGAAGCAGAAGTACAGTTAAAACAATTGCAGTACTATTAATGTTCATGTAAAAATCAACCTCTGAAGCCTCAAAAAGTCCCTCCAGAAATGGACACAACTTATAGTTCTGAAGAAGGATCACTGGACTGGTTAACTCTGCTTTATGTCCACAGATGCTGCCAAACCTGCTGGGCATTCTCTGTTTTAGTTTTTGATTTCCAGCATCTGCAGTTCATTGTTTTATTTTAGTTGCCAACTTATATGCAATGTTAACAATAAGCCACCAGCATGGGTGGTCACTAAATGGTCAGCAATCAGTGCGATGAGTGAGCATGTTTTAAACTCCCAAGCAACTTTGCAATGTCGCTAGTATCATTTGCTTGATCTCATGTGTACAGTTATAAGGTACCAGGAAGTAAAACATACATTTGCAGGTTGAAATTTGAGGCTAACGACTAATGTGAGTATACAGTATAGTGGCTGAAAGGAAGGTCAATTTATATGTCAGGTATATGCTAAAATCATAATTTTTGTGGCCGCCTTGTATTGACTTGTCCAGTGTGCATGATTTATGGTATATCTTGATCAGACTCAAAATGATTCACAATACATTTTTGGGATAGAAATTCAACTGTACAGTTTTGCATTCGGCATTGCATTTGCATTGAATGCTAGTTTTTCTGATATCCATGCATTAGGACTCCAAAATCCCTTTGTTCTGTATCTTTCTGCAAGCTTTCTCCATCTACATGATTGTCATGAGTAAAGTGAATGTACTATCTCTATGTCTGCGAATGACATATAAATAGGTGGGAAGGCAAGTGGTGAGGATGACATGAAGAGTTTGCAGGGAACTATCGACAGGTAAATTAAGTGGGCAAAGACTTGCCAGGTGGATTATAATGTGGCAAAATGTGAGGTTATGCACTTTAGCAGAAAGAAAGGGAGAGATGCTGTATATTATTTAAATGGGGGAATACTGGAGAAAGCGGCAGCAAAAAGGGATTTGGGAGTCCTTGTGTACAAATCGCAAAAAGCTAGCATAAAACGTCAGCAGGTAATAGGGAAGGCAAATGGATTGTTAGCCTTTATTTCAAAGGAAATGGAATATAAGCATAAGAAGGTCCTGCTAAAGTTAAACAAAGCACTCGTCTGACCACACTTGGAATACCGTGAATGGTTCTGGTCCTTGTATCTAAGGATAGTTATACTTGCACTGGAGGCATCCCAAAGAAGGTTCACTAATTTAATTCAGGAATTTTCTCATGGGGAGAGGTTGAGTCGATCGGGCCTGTACTCATTGGAGTTTAGAAGAATGAGAGGAAACCTTACTAAAACATATAAAGATTTTTAGGGAGCTTGACAGCGTAGATGAGGAAATGTTGTTTCCCCTTGTGGGAAAGTCTAGGACCAGGTGGCATCATTTCAGAATAAGGGATCACCATTTAAGACAGAGATGAAAAGGAATTTCTTCTCTCAGAGGAATCTGTGGAATTTTTTTACCACAGAGGGCTCTTGACGCTGGGTCATTCAGTACATTCAAGGCTGAAATAGACACATTTTTATTCAGTGAGAGGATCAAGGGCAAAGTGGACAAGACAGGAATGTCGAGTTCAGGATTATCAGATCAGCCAAGATCTTATTGAATGGCAGAGTAGACTTGATGGGCAGAATGGCCTACTTTTGCTTATATATCTTGTGGTCTAATGCCTCAAGAATTGCCTCAGTTATATGGAATCCCATCTCAGCCTTTCATTTTAATGATGTTTTAAAATTTCAGCTATTTTCTACTGACCAGCTTCCCTTTTAAGAGTAGTAGGCTGCCTTTTGAGAAGGGGTGGGTGGCTGTACCATGTGATTTCCGAAAAGCATTGGTTGGTCCTGCTGCTGAGCGCAGAGCCCACAGACAGCATTTAGCAGAGGGAAGCATCAGAGGCTAACAGGTATGGTCATGCTGATAAGGTGGGTATCTCAAATTTACGTGCTGCCTACTTCGATCTTAATGGGCATGGGCAGGTTCTGAATTTCCACCTTTGCACCCAAAAGAGGGAACTATCCAATTTTTAGTCCTTAATGTATTCTGATAAAGTAGCATTTTACAGACACCAACAGTTGCTTTCTGTGAGGGAACAGTAGATAGGGAATATTCATTGCTGTGAATTTAAATTTGTTATTACTCTCACCAACTTGAATGAAGTACACTCAGAGCTCATGTGGTGACTAATAGCACTGTTTCACATTGCTGTCTTTTTATGTTTTTGCTTTTGTAATAATAACACTTCAACAATGCATTTTTGGATAATGTGCAATTAAATATGAATATTACACAATTGGAACAGCTTTTTAAAACAACTATGCGGAACCGCACAGTGACTTTGAGAACAAATTAAAAGTGGAGTTGACTTGAACAATAGAACTTGGTTTTCAGTCTTGCAACCGAGTGGTCAGCAGCAATGATCTTACTGGGGTTAAGAGGTAAAAATAATAGTTTAATTTAATGCTCCTGTGCACTACAGTGTAAGGAAATGTCTAAACTTTGAAACCTTCAAATTATAGTGTCAGGATTTTTTTAACACTTAGTGTTGTACTTTGAATTGAAGTGCTTCAGCCTGTACATAACTTATGTGGTTTTACAATGTAGTTTATTCATTGAAAAATGTTGAAGGTGTCAACCATACATCATTGATTGGAGTGTGAATATTTACGGTGCATATAGAGCTCTGGCTTCTCACAGTTGATCATACATCAGTATTGCGATTGGTATTGCAAAAGGTTTATAACATTTACAAGAAAGGCAGTTAGAATGACCCAAGTGTCAAGTGGTCTTTATGGTTGGTGTCAGTTTTTCTGTTGGTTTCAATTCAACTCATAGACTATATCCTTCACATCACATAATGTCATATTTGGATCACACCTCAGTGACCTTGCACCAATTCTTGGTTGCTCCTGGCTCAATGCAGATATAATGAATAGGTAGCCAGGGAAGTTTGATGTATGTGATCTTAATTTTGTTTGGAGTGATAACGTTTATCAAAGAATGAATGATTTTATTGTCACGTGTATTTTATGGTGAGAAAAGTAGTAAAATACAGTGAAAATCTTTTCCACTGTTACCACAATCCAGCACATTTTGAATAGTTTTAAGAATAAGAAAAAAAAGAAAGATATAGCACAAAGAGAGTCCATCAGTCCTGACCCAGCCCATCATCAACTATACCTGTGCTGCTATCCCTCCTCCACCACCTTGCTGCCATCTACACTGGACCCAACCAATGTTGAAGTAACCACTGTTCAGGTGCCATCTTTCGCCACTGGGCAAATTCTCCTACACCACTGCCCCACAGTCGCCAGCACTGGGCCGATTATCCTACATCGCTGCCCCACTGTC